CCAGGCTGGCTTCGGAAAGTGCGACAACCAGAAGGCGCCTGCTGAGCCTACTGCGCCCAAGGGTACTTCGGGTGAGGGAGAGACGTGCGGTCCTATTGTTAACAAGAAGTGTGGTAACAACCTCTGCTGCTCTGGTTCCAACTTTTGTGGCTCCGGTGAAGACTTCTGCGGAAAGGCCAACTGGTGCCAGAGCAAGTGGGGAAGGTGCAACTAAGATGTTGGATATCAACGTGGGTTGGAGTAGAGAGGTTGGGGGTAGAATAGAGTTACAAGTACAAGAGTCTCTGGGACAATGAAAAGATATGAGAACTACACATTACCTGCACACGCGTAGATATTATATTGCTGTCTTTCCACGAGCGGATCCTCCCTCAATGTCATGCTAGGCGCGGAAGAAGTTTTTCACCAACACCCCTGACATGCTCAACGCAGGCACACAGCAACCTCTATTCATATGCCCATAAAACCCTTACGGGTGGGTGGTGGTGGACGTCTTCTCTACTGATCTATACGGAGTTTCGTTTTGCTTGATAGTGGTGGTGTTGGTCGTAAGATGGGGAAGGTGAGAAGGAGGTGTTTGACAGGTAGAAGGAGAGGTAAGTTATTCCGTGTGTGGAGTGGACGAGATTGGTGCTAGAGATGGTCAAGATGAAGGAGTTCGATTGCTGGTGGGCAAGGTTCAATGGACTCGCGTGCTCTTACTGATAAACAGCTGCTAGAGTTAGGCAAGGTCAGAAGATGAACGCGTGAGGGGATACTGTGCTGATAAAGCGGATATGGCGTATTTACCAAGCAAGCTACGATCGAGCGTTTCTCCACGCGTGGGACCAGTTTGATAACGTATTCGGGATTGCGCCGCTGTTGATTCAGTGCTAAGTACATACTCATATTCTGATGTCAGGATGAGGAGAGTGTTTACCGGATGTTCGACACGAAGGCTTCCTAGACCAGACATCGAAGTACTCGCAACCTTTTACCGCGATATACTACCACGGTCCTCAGAAGCGACATACATAGGCGACGCATACCTCGCCTGAAGTTATGCCTAGTTCACAGAACGCGAATACGCATGTCGTCTCTGGTTGCGGACACTTACTGTGTTTCGAATGTCTGACGCAACGTGTACATTCCAGCGCTGGTACATCTTGCCAACCCGTACTCTATAGGGCTTGGTGGAAGGGTGAGGGAGATGTTTAGTTTGATCCTTGAGGTGTTTACTTGGCCACCATCTCAGGCGCTGTGAGCTTTGTGGCAGCTTCTAGACATGACTAATGGAATTTGATAGCGTCAATGCGTTTATAGTTCTTCATCAGAAATGAGAGGTAATCTGTATACTTCGAGATTAAGATTGGTGTAGACACGAAAGTAGTGGAAAGTGTCTTGTGCATGACTTGTTTTCTCGCAGCCGGCACACCAAGTACCCAGCACCAACATCTCTTTCATAGAGCGCTATAGCACATGAAATCGTCGCAGGTCATCATGTGAAGTTCTCACGAAGAGAACGTGACAGGCGGTAACGTTGGCGGTTGAACTGCGGCTGAGGCGGATGACGTTAGCGCGATTAGGCTCCTCGGGGCGAACATGCAACAAAGCCGAGAACGTGTCATAGCTTGGCTTTCACATGATGGCAGCGCACGCACGCTTCCTCCACAAACCTGTCACATGCTCGACGCTCACCCAACCACACAGCCTCAAACCAGCTAATGCGCCGCCGCTTGTCGACGGGCTGAACGGCTATTCCTGTAGTCATGGACAAACCACGCAGGACGGCTGACCTGGCCTTCCCCCATTTCCACGCCTTTCCCCGTTACCCCAGACGGATCCACACGGGGTTTGACATTGCGACGTGACATTCACATGCTTACGAATTACAACACACGCATTACCGACATCGTAAGCCCTGCGACACCACGTGGAGACCCGACTTGACGCCTTCCATGACGCACAGTAGAGCTGCGACTGTATTCACTGGGTTCGATATAGCTGTTTGTGCTGGGAGAGAGGTACAGTCATGATAGACCATGTATTGGGACGGCCGTCGGTGCAGTTTAGGAAGATCCAAGTACTGGCTGTAGTGTCCTTTTGGTCCTTCTACCTCTACAGGTAAGCCTACGCAAACATCTTCAAACCAACCATTGTATGCTAATAGACACACAGAGGCGACCGTCATGGCCCACCGATCCTCCGCCGCGTATCCGCCCTCCTCTCCAAGAAACTCACCGTCTGGCAATCCGTCCTCATAACACTGCTCTACCTCTACGTCGCCCGCAACTTCGGCAAGCTCGTTGGCCTTGAGTGTCCCGAGCCACTCGCAAGCTTATACTCGCGCTCCTACTTCCGCGCGACATGGGTTACAACTGCGCTGGATGCAGGCTTCTGGTCTGCTATGCGAATAAAACGAAAAGGCGTAAGGGATCTGCTGTCGATTGTGTTCAGCATATATTACATGATATGTGCTGAGCAGGCAGATGAGAAAGTCAGGAAGATCAGAGCGACGCTCACAGTAGATCACCTACGCGTGGCGTGGAACAAAGGGACGACACCGTATCTTGGTGCGCTGACGAGCATGATGCGACCAAGGCTGATGGTGTATCCGCCACGCCAGATTCGCATACCACGACCGAGAGCTAGTTCGTACAAAGAGCCAGTAACAGGTTGGCTGTACTTCAACGGACCGCGGAGTGCATTGAAGAAGCAAGATAAAGTTGTCTTGGATATCCCCGGGGGTGGTTTTGTTGCTATGAACCCAAGAAATCACGATGATAAGCTCATGGGGTGGGCTGGGAAAACGGGACTGCCTGTCCTCAGTCTGGACTACAAGAAGGCGCCTGAACACCCGTATCCATATGCGCTTAACGAATGCTACGACGTCTATCACATGATCATCGCGTCGAGAGGAACTTGCATGGGCCTGTCAGGAGAAGCAGAGCCGAAGATCGTCGTCTCAGGCGATTCAGCTGGTGGGAACTTGGCTGTGGCCATGATACTCATGATACTTCAGAGTGGTTCCACCGAGACACGGAGATGGCAGGGCGAATCCCCTATACCACCTCCCATCGGGGTGGTGCTGATCTACCCAGCGCTCGACATGAACATTGGCAATTGGATGACGGACGAGCAAATGGCCCTCATCCGCGATCGACGCGTGAGAAAGACGAATCGACCCATCTTACGGCACAAGAGCGACGACTACCGACAACTCGCACCGAACACACCGTATGGCTCTGATGATTCGGATAGTGAGGACGAGCGCACCAAAGTGAGCATGGTCAATGGATCCATGCCCAAAGCCAATGGCGGCAACATCACGTCTCCCCAGACCATGATCAAACTCTCTGCCGCACACACAGGCCAAGATAGCAGCACCGCCACTCTGCAGCAACCGCCCAGCCAGAAATCAAGTCTACCCCCTACACCTCTCGCAACCCAACCTCCCACTCCTGGTGGTGCTGCTCTCCCGGCACCACCCGCCACAGCCATCAAAACCCGCCTCGCAATGTCCAGCATGATATCCTACTTCAACGACCGCATCCTCACCCCCGAAATGATGCGTGCCATGATCATCCTCTACATCGGACCCCACCACCGCCCCGATTTCAGCACAGACTACCTCCTCTCCCCTCTTCTGGCACCAGAGTCGCTCTTGGCAAAGTTTCCTCGAACGTGGATGTTGACAGGCGAGCGCGACCCCTTAGTCGACGACACTGTCATTTTCGCTGGGAGGTTGAGACAGGCTAAACGCGCAGAATGGGTGGCAGCGAAAGAGTTGGGACTAGACTGGGCACGAGGCAGTTTCAACGAGGAAGACAGTGTCGTAGTCGATCTCGTCCCAGGTATAAGCCACGGTTTCCTCCAATTCGTCGGCGTGTTCCCCGAAGGCTGGAAGTATATCTTCAAATGCGGAAAATGGATTACCGAAGCTTTCGAAGAAACAGACTCAAGAAGGTATGGGTACGATGTCGAGACACCGGGGTACACACCTGCCGCGGGCACGACTACAAGGAGAAGAGAAGGGGGCGATTACTTCGGTACAATAGGTCTTGCAGATGCCATCGATGGTCTTACGAGTCCGAAGTTTAGTCGCAGGAGACATCATCGTAGGAGTGGGACGGCGAGTTCAGCGGATGAGGATCGCCCGTTGGAGATGACGGTGCTGGGGAAGGGGGGGAGGAGTCCGCAGAAAGATGGGGATGAGGGTGCGGCTGGTGCGAGAGGGTTTGGAAGGGAGAGGGGTAGGACGAAGAGTGATAGGGGTAGAAGGAAGAGTTTGGTTAGTCTTGCGAGTGAGGATGATTTGTTGGGGAGGCGGATGAAGAGTTTGACGGGGGCGCTGGGGGGTGATGGGGGAATCTGATAGGGTTTCTGGGTCAGCAAGCATATACATCGTTTGATTTAGTGCGTATATATTCTGAATAGAAGATGATTTCATGAGGGTTGGGTATTGTGGATCTCGTCGTGTGCTAACTCATGGCAAGGCATCGGAATATCATCGATATGGTGGGACGAGACTCAACATCAAAGATATGCGGTATCCTGTTTGCAGACAGGTACCCGATCATCCTGGAACGATATCCTGCCCTGAGCAAGATTCCAGTCCGCCATGCACAGTCTTGCTGTGCCGCAATCACGGCATCACCGTTGATTCGTCAACAAGTCACACAAGCGCTCTGAAAGGACCGATCCTTGCTCCATCACGCGCATTTCGCTGGGGGCTCATGTATCTCTGGCCTATTGTAAGGCTAAGAAGTTTCACAGAGATACTTCAAGGTTTTCTACCCTGGTTGTGTTCGTTCGGAGTGGCTTGGCATGCTGGGAGGGAAAGCTGCCGTACCTGTTCTGCCATTAAGCCCGCCCCGAATCGCCTGGTTAGATTGCTGCTACACCGCGCCTCATTTTCTTTCATCTCTGTACTAGACAGTGTAGAGCCTGTCTCTTCTGCTAAACTCGCCATCACCACTAATCGCTCATATCCTGACTCGGGAAAGCGGATCCGGCTCAAGATGAGGGGAGCATACATTAGTAGGCGCCAGGGCTCGGTCTTCCCAGAGATCACATCTGCAATTGGTGGTGTGCCATCTGTCACCGCGTCGATTCAATCTTCCACTCTCCAGCAAATTACATCTGCGGTTGGGACTGCTCTCTATCCTTCTTCGACAGGTTTCGACACACCTCGCAGTTCAACCACAAACTCGCTGGCCTCGAGCACGGAAAGCAACGACGGTACAACATCATCTCCGCAGCCATCGGATGGCAATGTGCCGACAGCGGCGCCACAGGACAACGGCAGCGGTAGTTCAGGGCTCGGAGGCGGCGCAATCGCTGGCATAGCTATTGCAGCAGTCCTCGTTATCGCGCTCATCGGTGGATGGTTCTTCTGGCGGCGAAGAAAACGCACGAGAGGGAAGGTCACGAGCACTGAGATTAGTGCGCACGTCGCAGGAGACGGGGGCGGAGATGGAGGCATACCAGAGCTTGACACAAAGGAGCGCCCACAAGAGATGCCAGGAAGTCGACAGGTACAATCGCAAGAGCTGGATCCTACACAGTACACCAAATACGCTATGAATGGATCTCATGAGCTGAAAACCGAGCCTGAGCCAGCTGAGCTATTGAACGGTCCCGACGAATACACTGCGCCAGCGCCTTATCACGCTCCGCAACGATCTGCTGCTGAGATGACGGATATGACTGAGGCAACGAGTAACCCACTTTCATCCAATGTCGAAGCGCAACGGAGAAGAGAAATGGAGTGGCTAGAGATGGAGGAGGAAAGGATGCGGAAGCGGCGAGAGTTGCTTGCGGCGCAGGGAGGTGCAACGCCTTGATGGTACAGGCACAGCAAAACCTATACTTTCCAAAGTATCAAGCCAGTACACACATAGTACAAAATCACACCTATACTCGCCTATGTCTCGAGACCACAATCTTCTAAACTCTCCCGCCTGCCGAAGTATCGCACCGAGTCGAAAGCAACCAACACATTCCTGCGACCCGATATGCGACCTCTATACCCACCACTCTACCACATGCATTGGAATGACGATACAACCTTGACCGTACCGGTACACAGCATTTTCTCGTCGAATGAGAAGTTGGTCCTTCATGCACAGCCTTGCTCGCTTGACTGTGCCGCAAACACCATCTCCACGTCTGATTCGACGGAACGTCACAAGACCTGTGTGTAAGGGCCGATGCATGACTTTCAACGTGTAGGTAGGTGGGTACCTTTGTATCTTTGACCTATCGCATAGAAGGCATGCTCGTGGCGATATGCAGCAGTGTGTGGAGGTACCCCGCCCGCCTGCGATGATGTATACATGCTGGGAAGTCCTGCTGAACACGGGTTTATCTGCCCCTCTACCTTGACATTTGTACGAGCTTGTGCTCCGATATCCTACATCAAGGCTACTTGCATCTACCCAGCTCTTTGCCGTCGCACGCACTATCCCGCAATGTCCGACTCACCAGCTAACACATACCCCTGGTACGTCGAGGAGTGGAGCTCTGGGGGCTACCCAACTTCCATATCTATCTCAGACAGCGCAGACGATTGGTCAAGAACTCTGATGATACGCGTGACCCCCTCGCCGCGCGGTATCGTGCTGCCCGGAGAAACGCACATTGTAACGGTTGGGGAAAACTATGTTTTCTCTGGTATTGAGATTTCGCTCACGACAGACCCGGATCAGATATACCTTCGCCGCAGTCCGATCACGTCAGAGTCGAGCGTTGTGGAACAAACCTTGATACCACCGGCAGAAATTCCAATACCAACTTCCACGAGTGATGGCGGGGATCAGACAGCTTCAGCGGCTGATGCGACCACTAGCTCAGGCAGCTCAGGCAGCTCAGGCAGTTCAGGCAGTTCAGGCAGTTCAGGCAACTCAGGCAGCTCAAGCTCAGAGAGTAGTGCGAGTGAAATACAATCTGGAGACAGCAGTCAATCTACCGCAACCGCAACTGCGAATGAAAGCAGCAGTTCAAGTCTGGGAGGCGGTGCTATCGCCGGAATCGCTATAGGCGGTATACTCGTCCTCGCTCTAATAATCGGAGGATGGTATTTCTGGCGGCGAAGACAGCGTTCAAAAGCAAGAACTTCAGGTCCGGGTGACGATGAACAGGGCACGAGGGTCGTAAGCACTGGAGGGCCACCGCCACAGTACTCCCCGCCGGAGAAACAACCATATATCCCAGATCACCATCAAGAAATGCCAGGTGATATTGTCATGCCAGCGCAAGAGTTGGATCCAAATCAGTCCGCCAAATATGCTACGCACGCAACGCGGCATTCTACGAGTAAAGCAGCGTATCAGTATGAGCCAGCGTATGAACTTCATCCTGATGGTAGACCGGCGGAATTATCGCACGGCGGAGAGGAACAAAGTTCTGCAGTACATACTCACAGGCCTCAAACACCAGTAAACCAGACCGACGCTGGTGAAGAAGCTGGAGAAAGGAGTGCTGCGGTGTCGCCAAATGTAGAGGCGCAAAGACGACGCGAAATGGAGTGGTTGGACATGGAAGAGGAGAGGATACGGAAGAAGAGGGAGACGCTGTCTATGCAAGCAAGCGGGAAGAGTCCATAACGCCTTTGTGATTTCGACGGCATTTGTTCTCAGTACACACTATTCTAATATAATTTCTAGTTCGAACAATTGGAACGCAAGATCGTGAGGCACAGGCGGCACCAGCTAGGCCCAAAGGATCGAACGTCATGTGTGATGTTGGCCGCATGTTCGGCCTCAGGAACATCGAATCAGTGCTCAACCGCATGTGGGCAATTGGGGGCCAGAAAAGGCTGATTGGACAACGCGACCATGGAAATCGCTGCGGGACAAGGACCCCTACCTAGGTACAGACAGTTGCCATGAATCAACGAAGAGTAACAAGCGCATCTAGCGCAGAAAGCCGCCTGCTCCTGCTTTACAGCCCTTCTCTATTGTAACCGCAAAGTGTGGCCAACATCTAGGTCATATGTTGTGCATAGCAAGCTGCATTCTTGCCCGTTGGTTCCATTACATAGAGTTGGAGGACGAGACTGTCCAGCGAATGAACGGCATGCGCAGTCAGTATCGCATATTACCAGCGCTCAGAAGAGTAACAGCTTAGCTAGATTCGGCGTTCAAATATACCTCGAGACCTGGGTGTAGACCGATGAGTTCAACCGTGCCACAATAGAACAACCCAAGCCTCGTTCAGGCTGTACACAGGCACGCTGAGGCCCGGATCAGGGAATATATTGTAGATGGTATTACATCAAAGCAGATACCCGCGTCGTTACTGTCTAGGTCCCCATCTCGAGTTTTCGCTTCGTGTAGTCCTATGCTCGTTGAAGTCTTTCGTTTGAGCAGCGTCTCGGTAACGCCAGTCAGAATACTGCAGACACGTTGAACATGTCTACATCGGCATGGCAGACCGCAAGGATCAACACCCACACCGACGATCCGTATACGACGACTCTGCGCAAAGACGACATCCCGCTAGCAACAATCACAGTACACATAACACCAACGCTTGAACTTCGCTTCCCAGAAGCCCCACCCCTAGAAACAAGCTCCACCATGACATCAGGTCTTCTTTACATCTCCCTCCGAGGCGAAGACGATGGAATGGCGATATTGTACTCGACTCGTACAGACTTTTCATACTCACGCAGTCTAGCATTGGCAAAGTCGAAGTCACTGAGCTTACCATCGTCAACGAGAACTGGGGATTCGATCGCGTCCAAGTCTCCTCGTCCCAACCGAACCTCACGCCGTAAACATACCTCAAGCGGCACTATTGCTGGCATAGCAGTAGGAGGCATCGTCATCCTCGTGCTCATAATTGGTGGCTGGTCCTTCTGGCGCCGGAGAAGACGCGCGAAGTCTGCTACAAGTAAGAATGCCCCTGCGTCCGAAGGGCAAACGGGACGAGATAATGAGAAGATACTCTCCGACACGCCCGTATCTGGCGCGCGTCAAGAGACGTCTGGCGACAGTCAAGAGCAAAAGGTTCACCCTTCGCACTCATCTAAATACGTGGCGCATGAAATTGGAATCGACGATACGCTAGCGGAGTTACCGCATGCGGCACTGAGCGGAACAAGTGATGATGGCAGCGTGGAGATGCCAGCCGCGGCAAGAGATCATACTGCTTCGCATGTTCGCCACATGTAGAAGCGCAAGGAAGAGAGAGTTAGAATGGCTGGACATGAAAGAGAAGAGGATACGGAAAAATCAAGAGACGCTCTTGTTATAAGGGGTGGAAGGCTTGACGAGAGTACAGCGGATTACTGTACATTTTCACGAAGCAACGTTGGAAGCGAAGGAGACGAAGTTGAAGGTGGGTCTTAGAAGCATGTATATGAGATGCAGACGGACTTGTTCAAAAAGCGGCTGCGATACGACGGTTTACTTTGGGTTGGTTTGGCGGTGTGGGAATGCACCAAGTTTCGTCCGCAGAAACTGATGCGCACAGGACCTCGGGAGAAACGGCAAGCGCATTCACTTAGGTAGCCTCGTTCTGTCTCACTGCCCATCTCTATTACAATCATAGACATGAACTCTGGCAGACGTCCAGCCTACATGTCGTGTACCGTAAGCTGCATTCACCCCGCGCGACACGGCAACAAAAGATCCAATCAAGGTTGGCTTAGATACACACATGTAGGGGCCGAAGATTTGTGGAGCGAATAGGCGGCATGCGCAGCCAACACCACATCTTGGCAGCGCTCAAAAGAGCAACAATCTAACTAAATCCGGCGCTCAATCTATAGATTGATGATTCCAACCTGGCTGTAAACATGCACGCTGCAGCCATTATAAGATATCCAATATCCTGTACTGTTGTACATAATGTCAGCACAGACTGGATCATTGTCTGTTGCTATCTAGCTCGACTCTCCTTTGTCACACTCGTGGACCTACCTATACTTGCATACCGGTGGATTTAGCTCAAACCATCATAAGCGCAACGACCATTTACCACAGTACCAGTGGTATTGCATAATTGCGGATAATGACAGAACAAGACTTTGGAACAGCATGGTCCATCATAACACTCGCCTACGTGTGGAATCCGACGGTCAACACAATTGTCTATGAGCCAATAACTCTGTTCGTGGATGGCCCATTGTCCACTATCATTACGATAGAACCCTCATCACCGCTTCAAGTTCAACTGACCTCCATGGATGATCGTGAGCCACCCGTTACGGTAACAGCTGGGGAACCACCTCGAACAGTGGACAGACTCATCGTGTCTCTCCAAACAAGCGCAATATCGTTCACTGTCGCTTCTGTATTTGCAACAGGAGGGAGTCTAGGAATTGTCTCAACGAGTTCGACATCCTCAACAAGGAACGGAGGCACCCCCACATCCAAGCCACCTCGTACTACCCGAACCTCACGCCCTAATCCTACCCGCAACGGCAAATCCAAACATGGCGTAGGGAGTGGTGCAATAGCCGGAATAGCAATAGGAGGCATCGTCATCCTCGCCCTCATAATAGGCGGATGGTATTTCTGGCAGCGCAAAAAGCGGAGAACACCGGCACCGACGACCACCCTCACCGACGACGAACTAGCAAGACGAGAAGGCGACGGCGACAAGATGGTCCTCGGTGCAGACCAGTCCGCCCCTACGGCTGGCGCATACCAAACACAATACCAAGAAATGTCGGGCAACGGCCTCACGCAGGAACTGGATCGGTCGCACTCGTATAAGCATGCGATAGGAGGAGCGCACGAGCTCAGAGCTGAGGAACAACCGGGCGAGTTACCGTATAATGGGATGGAAGAACATGGGCGAGCGGATGAGGCTGGGGTCGTCGGAATGGACGATGGCGGTGATGGCAGGAATGCGGAGATGATGTCAGTACCGGGAGCGAATGATACAACGTCACAAGTCTCGCCACATGTGGAAGCGCAGAGAAAGAGAGAGGTGGAGTGGTTGGAGATGGAAGAGACGAGGATGAGACAGCGGCGAGAAGCACTTCTACAACAAGGTGGTGGTCAACACACGTAATACATTGGAAAGAGTTTGGGGCCAAGATTTGATGCAACTGTGCATACAAAGACCCCAAACCAGCTCCCATCAAGCCCATCATCGCATCCAGAAACCCACATGAAATTACCCCCATGAAGTACCATCTTCCAACCCCGCCAAACTCTCCATCACACCCTACCCAACCACCTCAATCTTAACCTTCCCACCCTTTACCATATCCGCCAACTTCCTCTTCATAACCTCCAACTCGCGCTTCGCATTCCCATTCTCCTTCCCCCTCGCCCTCTCATCCGCAAGCTCCTTCTCGAGCCCCAACACCTTAGCAGTCAACAAAGCGTTCTGCTGTCTCACCTCGATAACCCGCTTCTCCATATCGTGGTCGACAACACCTTTCTTCGCCTTCTCGGCCGCGAGTTCCCGCTTCAATATCTTTATGTCGTTTTGCAGTTTGCCCTGCAATAGGACTTTGTCGTCGATTCGAGCCTTGGTGTTCCTTTGCAGTGTGTTTAGTCGTGTGAAGTTCTGCTGTAGGGTTGCCATTTCAGCGTTCTTGGTCTCGAAACGCTGCTGGAGGGTTGCCATCTCAGCGTCCTTGGCCTCGAGGGCGTTGCGGTGGTTGGTCTCGAGCTCGGTCATGGAGTGGCGGAATGCGCATAGTGAATCAATTGCTTGGTTGATCCGGGTGTGGGGGTCGAACATCTGGTTGTTGTTAGTGGACTGAGACGCCTATGATTCTGTCAAGGGATAGTGGACGTACGGGGCCGGAGTTGTGCGGCAGACGACGGGCTGCTTGGACGCCGTGGCGCGCTGAGGGTGGGAGATATGTGCCGAATATGGACGTGTCGTAGGGTGGGGGATTCGGTGGGGGATTCGGCGGGGGCATGTTGTTGGAGAATTCGGGCGTTGTAATTGTTGATAGAAGGCGGGTGGATGGGCGGTGATCCTCTTATGGAGACGAATGTCGCGGGAAGTGGTAGCAATCGGGCGGTGAGGTGGTAATCAAAAGCGAGCTTTTGATAGCGTGAGAGGGGTGGGAAGGTGTGGTGATAAAGGGAAAGAGCGTATCGAAAGGGTAGGAGCTTATGGAAGTAGCGATCGTGGCATGACTGACATCTCGAAGTAAAGGTGGGTGGTGGACGAATCAGAGCTGCCTGGAGCGTTTGCACTGCGACGCACTACGGTGAGGGTATCGTCGGTACATACTCGAATTAGTGATCGATTGCGGCGAACCCGCTGCTCACATGTTTTCTCTATCTTGACTATGTTGACTTGGTTCTGGAAGCCAAACGAGTAAGACTAGCAGATTTGGATCGCTGATCGTAGCGCACTTGTATTCAGTTGGTGTGAGCCACGACAATAGCACGACACTGAGACCGATAGTGAAGTGCAATGGTACTCCAATTTTAGCTGGAATTTTCGACAACTAAACCAAAACAACAGTGCGTGGGGGAACATGATCCGAAGCCGTTAGATCAAGCTCTATTGTCCTTTCGTCAGGACCCTCTTGTTCGACATATTTATTGTAGATATAAACGGTACCAACCCGGATATACGTGTCCGTCGTTTCTTCGACCTTTTCGATACAAATGCCCAGGTGCGCAGTTATCATCAACGCACTGCAGGACTCGTAATGGACAGTGTCATACGCGACCTTAACTGGACTCGAGGTGCCATTACCAAGCTGAATTTGGCCCGAGAGATGCCGGGCTTTTGGGCTTTCTACTTCGGGCTCAACATCTGTGATCAGCGTTACCGGACCGGTGATGCGAGCAAAGCCAGCCGTGAGTGCGCCAAAGGGGTCTAGGCCGGCGCAAGTTACGCTACACTCTTCGAGAAGGGCTAGATAGTCACCATGATTCTGGAGAGATCTATGGTATTCGATTGTCCCTTTTACGGATACCCAAGACCATGATGGAGCGGTCCATTTCTGCCGTTTGCTCAGCTCTCGGCTTCTTATAGCGATTCCTTCGTTCGGTAATAACCTCAAGACGCACTGTTCCCAGTGCCACAAAAGGCCTTCGAGGAAGTGTGACTTCCATATTCCGGCGTAGTATGTATCTCCCGTGCGCTCCTGAATCCTTCGCACGATACCAGCCATCGCGGGAAATGTGTCCGTCGCATAGGTCACTTCGCGTTGGGTAAAGTCCAGTGTAAAGCGAGCCCAGGAGCTTTTACAGAAGGCTTGGCCAATGGATTGGCTCAAAGATTGTGCCATCAATTCGACATGCTGCCCGTTACGGTTCTGACGGATGTGCAAACGATCATCTTCATAATCATCAACATGAGCACACCCCCAGGTCATCTGGCCTGTATTGAAGCTCAGAACACGATGAGAAAGTAGGCTTTCCTGGGCGGCCCATCCACGACGATGCAAAGGTTGCGCGAGGAACTGGAGGCGGTCAGTACTCAGTGAAGACCACATCTCGTGAAGTTTCACGAACCTCTGCAGCCAATCCGGGAAGCTTCTGGAAACATAGCTCAAATGGACCATGCTCATCTTTGACGTTCAGGAACAACGGAACATGAACGTTGCGAGGACCGAGGAATCCTTGACCACAGTGCTCTGCTCGTGCAGCAGCTATGGTCAGATGTGCGTTCGAGTATACGTCTGCCATATGTGCAGCTTCGTATTCCCAGTCTGTCTTAGAATCTTGCAAAATACACAAGCAATCGATCCATATTAGTCCAATGTCCAGGTACCGCGCAATCATGATAGCGTCTTGCAAGGTTCGCGGTAACTCGTCGAAAGCGATGCCGGACTTGTGATCTTCCAGGCTCCTTGTAGTTGTGATCAAGGGTAAGGTATTACCCCAACAGTAGCTCAAGGCAGCGTAACGACCCGTCTGGCCCTTGGAAGTCTCGAGAAGCTTGAAATTTCTACCTTCAAAATGATCTCCCCACACTTGATGCGTGCCAAACAATTGTTCTTGTCCAGAAAGCATACTTACGTCTAAGACCCTTGTCGGCAGCGGTACAACTCGCGTTGATAGATGAGAGCACTCAGGATGGCTAAGATCGCAAGAGTCTAGCCAGGATGACATACGTTGCAATGTGTTGGGATGGAGAGTCTCCAAGGGAACAACAGGATCTACTCTACGGCGTATCCTGAGCGGACTGCCTATATCAGCCAATTAGTTTGACATCTCGATTATGGTGTGCATCGAGATTACCGAAAGGTAACCGCAGATGAAGATCCATAGTCCGCGTTTTTCCATGACGCGAATTACCCAAGGAGACTGCCAGACGCTTGTATGCATTCCAATCATCAGACAGCGTCATCCAGACCATGGTAATTCGCGGAATGGCAATCCTGATTTCATCCCACGCGAAGAGGGTTCCTTCTCTGTCCCCATGTGTTATCACCCACGTGTGTTGCTGCATCATCAGCAAAACAAAGGCGCAGAGTGGGCATGTCTTAGCGCGAGATTCGATCTCTGCAACGGTGCACCGTCGCGTTCTCCAAGGAATATCCTCTGAGACAGTCGATTTCGTTCGTCCGGCCTCATTGAATCGAAAGCCGTACTGGGCATTCAATTGAAACGTGATAAGCTCGCGGAATGGAATTGACCCGCAAACGTTGCATAGCGACATGTTCGAGTGTGTAGTGAGTGTAGTGCGCAGTGACTTCGTCACAGTCCAGCTCACATGTTGTCGTCCCCGCAGCTGTGCCACAATGCTACATGTGCGCTAGCCTTATCCAGTACCCAACATTATCAAATGATCGGTAGTCGCCTGTTGCCTTATATTGTCCGAAGGTTCCTGGGTTCTATACCGAATGTTGAAGTGGGTGGTACGAGAAGATGCTACCCTTAATCCATCTCGCAGCGGCAGTGCCGAAGTGGCAGGGGGCTCGGTCGTTAATATCGCGTATCGCCTATCTCTGGCGTGTGAAGAGATCAACGGCTCGTTCGGTCCTATTGAAGCAAACTCTGTAAGAACAAAGAAGGTTCATCATCGGCTCATGTGAGGAAGACAGGCATGTGTGCGTCTGATGCACACACTGACGATACCACCTCTCCATCGACGGGACGGCACTGCCGACAGCTCAATAACACGTGCGAACTAGTCTATTCCAAGGTTGTTTGATTAGAAGACAACCTCTGCGATTGCATCATCCCTCTGGAAAGGCCGTGAATCGCAGCGCACCTAGCCCAAGCGCGTAAGAACGATTGCGCACACCCCGCGGAAAAGACTGGTGTGAACGTGTGGCGGTGCAGCGAAAAACGCAGGGTCTGGAAGCTGCGCCACGTGTACCCGCATGTGTAAACAGGGGCAGCGAGCTGAAAAGACGAAAACTCAAATTCTGTCCAGTCGACATTGCGCGTCACCTGGTGTTGGTGGAGATCACAGGAGGGGCCAGGGGATTGGCTGTAGCCGCAGATGAGATCGCAGACGTGGTGAGACGGGATGTGGCTTCAATCTAGATCGTCGGTTCCCACAGGGGGTGTGGAGTTGTCAATCCTTCCCGCTGTGTGCGAGGAGCGGCTGCGCGTGTCAATCAATTGTGACTATCACTGCGGGATCAAGATGCGGTGGGGAGAATAGGCTTTCTGTGTCTGTGTCGTGTCTGTGTGCAGTGCAGGGTGATAGGATGCGCACAGAGTACGGTGAGATGGCATCGTCATAGTTTCGGCTGCTTAACCGCAACAACGCATAGTCGGTTCTGTGCCGTGTTTGTTCGCTGTATCACTGTATCGTCGGTCGCTTTCAACCAAGGCGGCGTCTAGTGACACCTGGCAGGAGAAGGGGTAGCCTGGCAGCGGACAACGCTCGATTGACGTAATTGTCGTACCGCATCCAGGACGATCGCTAGCGAGGCTGGGAGCTTGGCAATGTTCTCTCAACTGGATTTGCGCCGCATGTCGCGAATCACAAGGTTGCTTTTCCGCCAGCTCGGTAATTTCCTTGGGCCCTGGTCGCGCATCCTTCACATGAAGACGCGTTTCGAGCCGGACATGGGTGGGTGAAAAGTCTCACTTCACTTCACGGCCACGCCGAGCTGCATCACCGCCACGCAGCGAAAAGCCTTCCGCGATTGAGGCTGGTGATGCAGCCCGCAGTGAAGTGTCAGGGTCCAGAAGCTGGATGCGCGCAGCTAAGCTGAAGGGGTTAGCGGGCTGGCTCGAGTCGCGCGATAGGACCGATTTGTGGAGTGTGCTTGGACCACGACGTCACACTAGAGCTGGTGGACTCCTTGTATAGCGCCCGCAGTCCTGTTTATTTGTATGCAGTCCTAGAGCCTCCTCATTTCCTAAGAAGCATCTTCCCTTCGCGACTCCTTCACTCCCACCCCACGGGCACGCGACTGCCTCGTTGCCCACCATGTCGTCCACCGTGAGTCCCTCCGCCATCGCGACAGCGCCAGCATGAACGTGCGCTAACCATAACAAAGGGTGGTGAAGTTGGCAAAGCCCAAAAAGAATCCTCCAACTCCCTTTCCAGTTTGGTCTCCACCCTCGTGCCGACTGCCATTCTTGCGCTCGCCTTTGTCGTCGCTTTCCTTATCGCGCGCAAATACTTCCGCAGAGTCTATGCGCCGAGAACCTATCTCAACCATCTGGGGCAGCAACGACAGACGCCTGCACCGAGCGGAGGCTTCCTAGGATGGATAAAAGACTTCAAGAACCTCAAGGACGAGTACATTCTCGACCACCAGTCCATTGACGGCTACCTGTTCGTGCGCTTCTTCAAGGTCCTCATCGTCACCTGCTTCCTGGGATGTCTGGTCACATGGCCCGTTCTCTTCCCCGTCAATGCAACGGGAGGGGCAGGCCAGGAGCAGCTCGATCTTCTCTCCATGAGTAACGTCAACCCCGAAGGCAAGAATGTCAACCGCTACTATGCCCATGCCGGTATCTCCTTCATCTTCCTCAGCATGGTCAT